GAGTTTACTGAAATCTGGATCTCAAAACTAAGTTATGCCAGATTTAGAACAGGTCTCTGAAATCAGAGTAACTTCAGTTAGATTTCTCTAAAGCCCCTCTGAGTATATTGGGATCCAAGTCAACAAGTAGGAATAAATATCTGAATTTTATCATTATTAAATACAAACATTTTTTTCAAAGCAGAATTGTATTTTCGTATTTACCACAGTTACATTGGGCATACCTCAAAAACTACACAGCTTAAAAAGTCTTTTTGCATGTTGTAATATACAGTAATTAAATCACTTTCAAACTTAGTGTTGGCTTGAACATTATGGGCAAAGTATAGGCACTGATTGGAAATGGAAACATCCCAGTTCACTATTTTGGGAAGGATTCCCTTGAATTTCATGTCTCACAGTTGGTTCTAAGGAATACCAAAGAGGAAAATAATATACACAGTATTTAATAGTGCAATTCAATGCATATTTCCTCAGAAATCAATTTTCTTAACTTTGGTAAGAGTTCTGCATGGATTACATTGGATTAATCCAATGTCTACTAGCAAAACTGGCCCAATATTCTGGAAATTTGCATGAAATTGGGAACAATTTTCATCGAAAGCTACTGGTTCAGTAACATGTGCACCAAAAGTGACTTACTGTCTTGTTTTTCCCTTGAACCATGCAACTATTAGGTAATTATTTAATTCTTAAATTATTTTTTAGTATACTTGTCTGAGCACTGTATGCATTATTTGGACTACAATGTAATACACATTCAGGATCATTTTCATTTCAACTGGATAAAAGAATTTTCTCAATGTTCAATTGAACTGAAGCACAAAAATTGAAATTTTAGAGCAGTAGACAGAAAACCTAATCCAGATGATATTAAAAAACATAATTTATTGTTTCTCTCTGTGTGTTTTTGTAAATAAAGGCAAACATATTCCTGTGTAAGCCAGATCTTCTTTTCTGTTCATGATATGAACATCAACTTTCAATTCTAATATGTTGCCACTGTGGACAGAAAGAAGGGAAAGGGAGGAAGATCAGCCTATGACCATACTGATATAAAAGATTCAACTTATATTGAATCTAAGTTCTCTGCTCATGAATATTCAGACTTCAAAATAATTTTTTTTCAAACATGCTCTTCATTTGATTTTCCAACATAAGCAGAGATCCCAAGCAGATATCTTTTCTAAAGTGGAACAGATATCTCAAATAGATAACCATTTTTCTAATAGAAAAATATAGGAATATCTAAACATAAAATATTAAACCAGAACATCATTTTTATACAACCAAATACTTGTGACTTCCATTGCTGTACAAAACTATTCTGCCACGTGATATTTACAAAGTCTGGGTTGTACCCAAGGCCCCAAGTTGGCAGTTGGGTATTTGAATCCTACGAAAAACTGTAGAGGGTACATGCTGTATTGTAACCTGATTCTACACATTTTTTTCTCGTACCAGCTTTCAAAATGGAACATTTGAGTAACAGCCTGGTTTTGAAAACCAGTTGTTTGGGGGCAGTGGTGGTTTTCCAAATTGTTTTCTACCGGTTCTATGCATAGTTCTATGTGTGCGTGCTACGTGCCTAACACCCATTTTGTGCATGCGCAGAAGGCTCAAAGACCAACCTGTCAACGCTGGTAAGCTGAGGCTTTTTAGCTCAGCTGAGGTGCGGCAATCCACTCTGCTGTGAATCAGCTGAGCTAAAAAACAAGGGAATATAGGAGAGGTAATGGTGGGGGGTGGGGCCAACCAGAGGTGGTATTTGCCAGTTCTCCAAACTAGTCAAAAATTTCTGCTGTTGGTATGCCAGAACCGGTCCGAACCAGCTGAATACCACCTCTGCTTTGGGGAAGGAGGGACATCAGGATTCTCACAGCTGCACAGTGTCAACCCTGGAGCTGAGCTGACCAGAGCTATCTTGGAGCTTCAGTGTTTCCACACTGGAGCTGAGAGATAGGGAGGTGGGGATTACAGATAGCTGGCATTTTGTAGTCAAAATAAAATTCTTTCCCTTGGGAACCAAGGACATTCTCACACCTGGTCAGAGGAAGGAGGAGTGATGTCACCAGGCAATCAGATAGCACCTTGATTGGACCATGTCTCTGATTGTTTGGGAAGGTAGAAAAACTTTTAATTTGGAGAAAACCACAGGAACCTTCAGAGTCAGTTTTCACAAGCCCATGCCAATATGACATATCAAATAAATTTATTCTTTGAGGAATCTACCTGCCTCAGAGTTTTGTTTGCTGTGGGATGTTACTTGGAACCTGACACACAGTACACCACTGTGAGGGCTGAGCATCTCATTAGTTGCACTAGAGGAAAATATTTGTAGCTCAAGGCTGAAAGGAGGAGTTGCTGGTGCTCTCTGAGCTTGTTTTCTTGCAGATGTTTCATTCACCACACTAGGGAACATCATCAGTGCTAGTAAGGGGTTTGCTGTCATTTTACATTCACCGAGGGCCTGTCTTCTCATTAGTTTAAATTTCAGTAGTGGCAATTATAGACTTAAGGACCAAGAGGGCACCATTCAGAGGAGAATTTCATTTGAATTTCTAATGGTGTGTGCATATGTTTATCCATTTAAATTAAGCATGCCCATACAGGAAACCCTCAGTTTATGACTACAACTGGGGCCAAAATTTCCATTGCCGAGCAAGAGTTGTTAAGTGACTTTTGCCCCATTTACAGTCTTGTCACAGTTGTTAAGTGGATCATTACAGTCAAGTTAGTAAACAATGGTTGTTAATTAAATCTGACTTCTCCATTGCCTTTGCTAGTCAGAAAGTTGCAAAAAGGGATTTGCAACCATCATGCCAGGCATCTGAATTTTGATCAGGTGACTCTGGGCATGCTGCAACAGTTATCTGAAAAATGGTGATAAGTCAGTGTTTTCACTGCCACTGTAACTTCAAATGATCACTAAACGAACGGTCGTAAGTCAAGAACTATTTGTGTAGAGAGGAGCATGCGCTTTGATTAGAGGCAGAGATTGGCATCCAGATGGTAGAACCTGCTGGACTCTTTCAATGCTTTATAGAAATCCTGTTCACGCCTGCTTATCCACCACTGAGAGGATTAGCTAGAACGGGGTGTCAAACCTGATTTCATTGAGGGCTGCATCAGGGTTGCATTTGATCGGGGGGGGACATGGCCAGCTTGATGTCACTCTTGTCGGGGGGAGGGGCATGTGTAGCGGCCTGAGCACTCTGCCAGCAAAAACAGGCTCCCGAGTTCCATTTTTGGCCGTGACAGCCTCCTGCAGCCCTCTGCCAGCGGAAAAATAGCTTTGGGGGCGCATGTGGCCCCCTGAGCTCCGTTTTTACTGGCAGAGGGCTATAGGAGGCCATCGCATCTGAAAACAGAATCTGGGAGGTCCACGCATAGCCCTCCCGAGCTCCGTTTTCACTGTCAGAGGCACAGCAGGCCGGTCCTTCGCTGTTTCCAGTGCGGCCCCCCGCAGACCAGATCTAAGCATCCCATGGGCCGGATCCTGGGCCTTGATTTTGACACCTCTGAGCTAGAACTATCTTGCATTCTGAACAAGAAAACCCGAACTTCAGGATTCCACTTTATGCTAACTTATGTATACCCTGGCTTAATAACTGCATCTCTTTCCTCCAAAACCCTTTTGTGTTAATCATATTCCAAATTCTAAAATACACATCACTGTCTAGACAGATTATGAATTTATCATTTGTCAGATGTTGGTGATTTTAATATTGATTCCCCTAATTTTATCCATATGGCAAATTTTTTATGGGGCAGGTTGGACTGAGACAAAATTGTGTGAAGTTATTCAAAGAAGTCCAGTGATGGACTTGAACTAGAGTCTCCCAGATCCTAGGCCATGTCTAAACCATTGTTCTATGCTGGTTCTTAAAGTATGATTGACATTGATCAGATTCCTAACAGCAATGCTAAAAATTTAGGAAGCTACAGCCTCAAAGATCTGGAGGGCAACAAGTTAGAGATGATGGATCTAAAGTCAGGAAGCATTTCCTCCTGGATGTGGAAATAATGTGGGTGGGGAAACTTCCTCAAAATAAAAATTCAGGGTAAAGTGGAATTCATTTGAAAAAGAATTTTCCCTTCCCATGGATACAGCTCCCTTTCTTAGATTAATAATAGAGTCATCAGAGAATATTGCCAGGAATCACTACAGAGCAATTTCAAAACGAATGTGAGATGTAAAGTGGTGTTCTGTATTAAAACCTCATTTTCTTCCACTGTTGATGAGATGCATGATTGTTCGTTTTCCAAAATTATATTGCACTGAACAAGCTACACACTCTTTCCCACCCACCCCATCCCATCTCCACAATCCAATTCAGAACATATTTTGTGAAGCTGCCCCTTTGTCTATGACAGGGGTCTGCAACCTTAGAGCCATTTGGGCCCATTTCTCACAGAAAAGAAAACACAGGGGAGCCAATAATTTAACAACTGGTGTGACTGGGTGGGCGTGGCCAACTCGATGTCACTCACTCCCACCCAGCCACCTCCTGCTCTGGAAATATGGAGCAAGTCTCCATCCCCCGCCATCACCCTTACCTTCTTTTCAGGCCAGGCGAAGAGTGATAGGGAAGGGATGGGCCAGCCAGTGGTGGAATCAGCCGAGAGGGAGCCGCAGGAGAGGGCTGAAAGAGCCGCATGCGGCTCCAGAGCTGCAGGTTGCAGACCCCTGGTCTATGAAAGCACTTAAGCATCTGGTGTGTGATGTAGCGAAGAACCACCTGACATTCACAAGGCATCATGAAGGAATGTTTACATCATCAAGACCCCAAATCTGCCTTGGGATATCTACAAAGTATCAATAATGTCTTGTCATGAGAAAACAGGGTTATCTTTTCTTTTAATCATTCATCTTTCCATGAGATAAAAAAGGCCATGTGGCATAATGTGGCTAGTAAATCATTCCTGAGTTTCTGAAAAAAAAAAAATTCAGACAAGCGACTCTACTTTTAAAAGGTGGAGTCATTAACACACTTCTTTTTTTTCAGTGGCAGTCTTTGGTAGCGTCCATTTGTCTACAGAGATTCCCCGCTAGAGCAATTCTTTTCTATTTCATGCAGCAGAAAAGTGAGACCTGATGGAGTCTTCTCGTAGCTGTCGGTGCTTGCCGATGTTGTATTCTTCCAGCTGATTTCTTCTTTCAATGGTTATTTTGTACTTTTTCCTGAGTGGCAGAAAGCAAGAATAATTCCTTCAGCAATTTGAGATAAGAAAGAAAACTCCCCCAGAACATCTGGGTTTGGCATAATCAGTTGCATGAATGAGTATCACTGCCAAAAGATTAAAGGGATGTGCCTCGCATCATTTTTGTCTCACATACAAGTTAAGGTAGGTTTAAAGTTTTCAGATAAGCTGTTTGCTTTATTTACAAATATGAAACAAAATGACCCTAAAAACAAGAGGATTCTTGTTATAACCAGGATGTATACTATGGTGTAGTTTTTTAAAAAAAGGACTTGATATAGCCAGTACACTGACATTGAGAAATTGGAAATGTGATGAATAATAATGAAAAATGTACAATAATACATACATCCATACATACATATGCAAGAGGATTCTTTATATCCAGTGAGAATTAAAATAGTATCTGCATTAAAAGTCTATCTGCGAGCCAGTTAAATTTAAATTGTTTGTCCATTCTGTTAATTAAATCAATATATTGTGCAACCCTGTTTCTTGTGGTTGGTATCATTTTTACAAGAAATTCAAATGATAAATGATGAAAATGGAATCACCAGAATAACCCTACTAAGCAAGAGGAGGGTCAGCAGTATGCAGAAGCAGAAAAGTGCTTTTTAGAAAAAGAAACCCTAACACGGCAAACCTCTCATAAAACAAGAAAAATGAGGACATTGTTTGCTAACTTGCTACAGAATGCTAATTATTTGCAGTGGGATGAAAAGTAGGGGAGTAGAGAAGCTGGAAAGAAAGAAGGCATTAACAACAATACTGTAAGATTTTGTTGTCAATCTCACTGGTTTTAAGACAGTTTAATCTGATTTAAATATTTGTCTGCATGTGTGAGTTGCACCTTGATGGAAAATTTATTTCTGCTAAGAAGCAGCATATGACCCCCATATATAAAAGGAGTAGAATTCTTAAGACTTCCTCTGGATTGGAATTATGATCCCTGTGCTCAATCATTCAGTCCCTAGAAATGGTGGGATTCAAATTTTTTTATTAGCGGTTCTGTGGGCATGGCATGACTTGGTGGGTGTGGCTTGGTGGGCATGGCAGGGGAAGGATACTAAAAAATCTCCATTCCCACCCCACTCCAGGGGGAAGGTTATTGCAAAATCCCATTCCCTCCCCATCCCACTAACCTGCTTTCCAGCTCCGTTCTCCTGTGCAGGGCAACCAAAGAAGACCCAGCCGATCAGCTGGGACTCGGGAGGCGGAGAATAGATGGGGGCGGGGCCAGTCAGAGGTGGTATTCTGAACTACTCAAACTTTCCGCTACCGGTTCTCCAGAACTGGTCAGAACCTGCTGAATACTACCTCTGGTCCCTAGTCATCTCACGACAGGACTACTGTAATGCGCCGTACATAGGGCTACCCCTGAAGAGCATTTCGAAGCTACAGCTGGTGTGGAAGTCTCTGCTGTTGCCCCTGCCCTGGGGAACATCTTGCCCCCTGGTGTGAAGTTGGCCCCAACCCTCCTATCTTTTCATAAGGGTATAAAGACAGGCTGGGCCAGTTGGCTTGGGACGCTAGTGGAGGATCAATGCAATGGAGCTGGTAGACTTGAGTAATAACAGATCCCATCTCTCCTTCACTTCTCTCCGTGTGTCTTTGGTTTTAAAGTTTGTTTTTAATTTTACATGTTTTAGCTTATATGTAACTATAAGCTGCCCAGAGTAACCGCATGGTAAGATGGGCAGCCAATAAATTGTATTTATTCATTCATTCCTTTACTTTGTTTGACTATCCATTTCAACCAAGTGACTCTGGCCAGCGAACAATCATTGAATTGATTAAAATTTAATTGCAACCACAACACAATAAGAATTAAATGCATACAGAAACAGAGAATTATTATAGTCCATAAATATTAGCATAACCAGGGAATGGGGCTCTTCATATATTCAGGATTTGAGGCCCATGCGTCAGGTCTTCGAGACCTTCCAAAAGATCAACAATATTGGGGCCATCCTAATCTCTGGAGGGAAAATGTTCAAGAGGACAAGGCACTATGGCAGTGAAAGCGTTCCTCCTGGTCCCCTCCAGTTACCATTTCTTGGCTGATGGAGCCTTCAACCAGTGTCCAACCTGCCTGGTAGAATTGGACAGGTAAAAACAACTGGTAAAAGACAGTACCTGGTTCCAAGCCATGAAAGGCTTGACTGCTATGTTGATTTCATTTCTCGTTTCCAACTACTGAGTTTCTTTTTTTTTTTTTTTAACAAGGCTGACTTTGGATAAAAGTCTTTTTAATTACCATTCTTTTTGAGAGTGTTTGGATCAATGAATGAACCTTCTGTATCTGATGGAACCCAACCTGCCAGACTGCAGACTTTCTCCTATTTCTTTTGTTGGGAGGAGAAATGAGACAGACGTTCAAAGATGCTGGGTGTTAAAATTAAACTCACCTGAAAATGTAGAAGGCCATCAACAATCCTGCTCCTAGTAAGGCACCTACAACTATTCCAGTAACTGCTGATTCTCCTACGCCACCTGCTTGAAAAATCAAGCAAAGGAAGAAATCAACCAAAGGAATCCATTAACAACAAAATCTTGCAGAATGATTGAATTACAGATTCTATCTGCAATTGAATGGACAGATTAGTTTGAAGGCTAGTTTTTTAGCTGAGGTTGAAAGGTTCTTTTTTCTTTAGCTTCACACTCTTCTTTTATGAATTATGTTTATTTCAGATTCATTGTTAACACGCAATCCCCTTCCCAAAACAATGAAACTCCCTGACTACTCTAATAGAGAAATTACTTATTTTAACATAAGCATATTTCCTATTCTGAAATATGTAGATTGTAAGCCTTGGTGAAATTATTTCAGGATGATTTGCGACATTTTTTGCATCCACAGAATATCTTGTACAGTTCCACTAGCTCACATATATACCTATTAAACGAAACAGTTAACCTACCTAAATTTATGAATACCATAGTAGGTCATCCCTTTAGAGCAGAGATGTCAAACTCGCGGTATCACGTGACATATCGGGTCTTTTTTCCTCTTTGCTAAATGGGGCGGGGTGGGGCCAGTATGTGATGCATCCGGCCCGCGGGCTGCAAGTTTGACACCCCTGCTTTAGAGAGATCTGCCCTTATTCCTGCTATTTCTATCAGAAGGGAAGGGTTTGCTTGTCTAAAATGATAAAAGGCAGTTCTATCACTTTAGTTCTATTTAGCTGCCCTCTGCTAGCTGTGCCTGAGTAAACCCAGCCTTAAGCAGATAAGATGCACTTCTGCCTGATGAACTCAGGACTTGACTAGACTCAGATCAAGAATAGCCTTGCCTTCGCCTCTGGCATTGTTCTACTGCACAACTTGCTTTATTTTTCATGGTCTGACCTCCAGTTATTGGAATATCAGGGAAGAAAAAACTACTAATAAGTGGTCATTTGCCTTCTACACAATTTGTTTCATGATGTAACAACTGTGTAATGAGGATGTCTGTGGAAAATGTTTCTTGGGGATTCATATATATATGAATACAGAGATAAAAGCATAGATTATCAGCTTAGTTTGAATAGGCCTAAAACTCATACATTAACCTCACTTAACTTACATGATTTGCAGGCTGCATTGTTCGTGTGCTCCAATCCCCGACTATCATCTATTTTCAGTCTTTGTTCCCAGAGGTAATTTGCACTTGGAATTATTTCAAGTCGTCCCTGTTTTCCATAATAGTTTCCAATTACCTGTATATAAAAATAATATAGCAATAATATATGCTGTGTAAAGATAGAATAGTGTGTGTGTGTGTGTGTGTGTGTGTGTGTGTGTGTGTGTGTGTATATATATATATATATATATATATATATATATATATATATATATATATATATATATATATCCTACTCTTCTCTCTCTCTCTCTCTCCATCCATCCATCCACCCATCCCATTGCACATCTACATCAGAAGTCTAGTAAAGAACATTAATGATTCTAAGATTTACCAATTGAGGAAAGAGATGGTGGACCATATAATTCTCTTCGCTTTATCTTTTAATGGAAAAAATTACCCCAAGAAAACTGGAATTATTAAGAAACTAACAATGGTAAAAACAATGATAGCAACAACAACAATTCTAGTCTGTTCCAAAACTCCTAAGATTTGTTTGGTACAAAACTGAGTTGCAGAAATTATACAGACCTTGAGAATAAATCACATTTCCAGCCCATCTGTGTTTGTGGATACACATACAAAGTAGCTTCCTGCAGCTATAGCAGAGGAACTGTCAGGGTATCATTACAATCTGAGACATTTTTGCCATTTGTGTATAGTTGTCAAGATTTTCTATGATGTGCCTTGGCTATTTTTTATTTTATTTTATTTTACAAGAAGCCAGAGTAACCTTGTTGTAAACACCAAGTGATCAGACAAAGACTTAAGTTCCTTTGGCATTGTTCCACTTAGGAAATAAACTTTTCATGAGTGATGGGAAGGAATCTCCCAAGTAAATAAACACTGCCACTAGCATCATCAAAAAAAAGAGAATATTATAAAACAGGGCTGGAACAAACATAGTAAAATGAATTATGTCAACCAAAAGGGAAAGTAATTAGGATCTGAAAAGAGATGTTTGTACAGGCAAACAGAAAGTTAACAAATGGTTCCTAGCTCTGCACTGATTGTTTCTGCCTGAGACAAGAGCTTAACAGGAACATCTGTAGATAATAGAATCAATATAAATCCTTTTTTTTTTCACGGATATTTTTCCCCCCTAAGCTTTGGCTTAAGATGCTGAATCCTTTGGTCTTTCCTCAGATGACCTCTGGACTTTTTATTACCTTTATAGTTTCTCTTCTGACATCTTCCATTTTAATATTGTATTACTCAGTTGTTTTGTTAACATTTCTCCATCAACTCGATGGAAAAGGTTTGCTCACTTGACAAAGCAGAGGCAAAATTCTCTTAAATTTGGGGCAGGATTTGGATTATGTTAGGAATTAAGGGTATCTGTCTTTCACTGGTCAAACATCTCTCTCCTGTGCAAACTTTCCGTTTCCAGTGAAGCCCTGGAGAAATAATCAGTGAAGGAACTCTTATCTAGGATTTCTTTCAATCAGGAAGTGGGGACAGCCAGGAAGGCTGGCGTGTGATAGAGAAATAGCATAACATAGCACAGCAGTTCCTAACCTTCCCAGCTTGGCAGCCTGGCTCAGCACTGGGTGGTGTGTGGGAGTTGCAGGCACACATGTGCAGCTCCATTTGTGTGGGGGGGTACATGTGTATGCCCTCCACTTGCACAAATGAAGCTTTGCATGTGAGCAGACAGTGCTTGAGCTCATGGGTGAAGCTCTACTCACGCAAGCGGCAGGCCCTTGCACTTGCGTGCAAAGCTCCACTCGCGTGAGCACAGGGTGTTGGAGCGGAGGGCGCTTGTGTTCGCATGCAAAGCTCCATTTGCATCAGTGGAGCTTTGCGTGTAAGCGTGAATGCCCTCCACTTGCCTGAGTGGAGTTCCAGACACACACGCTTGCCTATTTCTCTCGCAGCCCAGTTTCAAACAGGCTGTGGCCCACTAGAATTATAATTCTTTTATTGCCCATGTGTGATTGGACACATAAGGAATTTGTCTTGGTGCAAATGGTTTCTGTGTACATAAAAGAAAAAAATACATTCGTCAAGAGTCAAGAATCATCAGGTACAACACTTAATAATAGTCATAGGGTACAATAAGCAATCGAATCATACTAGGAAACAGTCCACATAAATTGTAAGGATACAAACAACAAAGTTAGAATCCTACAGTCAAATCATACTAGGAAACGGGATGGGTGATAAAGAGTGATGAGAAGATTAATAGTAATAGTTGTGCAGACTTTGTAAATAGTTGGACAGCGTTGAGGGAATTATTTGTTTAGCAGAGTGATGGCGTTTGGGAAAAAACTGGGAAGGAGTTGAAACAGCTTATGTCCAGGATGTGAGGGGTCTGCAGATATTTTCACAGCCCTCTTTTTGACACGTGCAGTATACAGGTCCTCAATTGAAGGCAGGTTGGTAGTAATTGTTTTTTCTGTACTCCTAATTATCCTCTGAAGTCTGTGGGGCTGGGGACCCATGATACAGCACTCCTTTCAGACGTGCCAAGGCACTTCTGGTTTGAAAGGAGCTGGTGACATCACCATTGCCTGGGAGACGCCCAGTTGGGGACTCCTTTCATGTCCCCAGCAGGAGCTGGAGTGAAGAACGGGAGTTCAATCCTGCCCCATGGCAGTACTTGGGTCTTGAGCACAGGCTTGCTAACTTCCAGCTCAGCGCCCTAACCACACAAGCCACTGTGCTCCTTTGTGATAAAGAAATATCTAACAAAAAAAAAAAATCCTTGCGGCTATAAAGTAAAATAAGAAATACTTCCATAGGACCTTGATAATGAGATATAAAAGCACAAATCTTTTCTACAGAAAATTCTTTCTGGCATGGGTCCAGGAAACCTGAGGAATCATCTTGCCCCGTGGGATTGGCCCATCCCACTTGTTCTGACAGAAAGGGCCTACTACACACCCCACCTACTGTAGACCCCATCAGCCAAGGAATTTTGGCTAGCAGGATCTAGAGAAGAGCCTTTTCTGGCATGGCCTTCACCCTCTGGAATATCTTGTCACCGGAGGTGAGATTTGCCCTCACCCTTCCGGTCTTTAGGAAGAGCCTTACAGCCTGGCTCTGTTAGTTGGTGTGAGGCCCTGATGGAGAAATTGTAGCCTGGAGGTGGTTGGTGCAGGGACAGAGAAGGCACCATTTAATCTTTTGTGAATTTTAATCTGTTTTTATATTGATAATGGCTTTTATATCTCTATTTTTGTGATATTTTATAAGCTGCCCCAAACAGCGAGATGGGCTGTATATAAATTTACGTAACAAACCAAATCTCCAGAGGCTCAGAGGATAAAATTTCAATATATGGCATCATATATACCTCAAAATATCATAAATGCTGTCAAAAAGGTTATATGAATAGTATAATAGCACAAAGAGGCTCATCCATGCCGAATCAAACCAATTCACTGAACTTGAGGTTCAGCAAGGTGACATAATGATTTCCCCAATTCTTGAGCATCAGTTTATAATCACCCGAAAGTAATGACTTCCATTGTGTTAATGGGGGCCGTTTCCCCAATAGAAGCTCAACAGAATGGCATCTTTTCTAGATTCTTAGACTCTTGACAGTTCGGATGTAATGACAGTTGTGTCATGAACCCAGAAAAGCACTTACTTCCCCTCTCTGAGAGTATTGCAGTCCTGATTAAAGAAAATATTTCCCCATTATGTTGAAAACAGGAAATAGTTACCTGATTTGCTAGGCTCTATAACTGCAGATTTTTTTGTTTCAAAGCCTGCTTAGTAAATTAACAGGAAACAGGAATCTGCATTTGACTTTAGGAGGACCTCAAATACTAAGAGTATGAAAGGAGAAACTGATTGCAATATTGGAAAGAATCTTGCAAGTACAACACCCCTCTCAGGTGGCCTTCTTCCTTCTGATGAAATATTGGCAGGATAATAGTGCTCACCACCTTGTTAAACAAACTGCATGCACTGCTGAACCACTTTTACTATTCAGAAGCTTCTCCTAATGCTGATCTTTGGTAAACTGATTCTAATCTTTCCCTTTGGGGGGGAAAAAAGAAAGGAACTTGTAATTTAAATTACAGCTTGATTGCTCATTACTTGCAAGAGACAGCAAGGGTAATTCAAAGCATGAGGAAGTGAGCAGATTGCCCTTCTCTATTTCTCTTCATCTTCCCAAATTATTATTAATTATTAGCTCTTAAGTGGCAAAATATGGAATTGTATGAGAAATACATGTCATGCATGTATTTTGGTTCAGTTTTCTATCATGTGTTATCAAAATGGTGCGTCTATTTTTACTGAATACAATATTTGTGGTATTTTGTATTTAGGATTTTGTATTCATCCTTGCAAGCATTGTCGTTTCACAATGCCAATTGGTATATACAGATAGCTAATTATTATGGTTAGTTTGGTGTCTTGTGGTTATGCCAACCTATTCTTCTCCCCAACCTTTTCAAGGTGCCAGTGAGTTACACTGTATGAACTCTTCATACCAATACTCCTTGACTCATGACTGCAATTGGTACCGGAATTTCAGCTGTAAGTTGGGACAGTCATTATGTCCAGGCATGCACCCAATTTTATGACTGTTTTTATGACAGTTGTAAAGTTAATCACACAGTTTTAAGTCCAAATTCATGTGGTCATGTGCACTTTAGCTTCTTCATTTCCTATTATTTTTTCTATTTTGTGGTTCCACCAGTTCTTGCTTGCAGGCAAGTGGTTCTGTTTGAATTATGCTTAATTTAATTGTAAATTTGGTTGTGCTAGATAAAAGCTAAATTAATTAACTCCCTTAACCTTTCTCACGTTCATAATTGCTATCCTTAATTTTTTTCTAAATTCCTAGCAGATTTCTATGAGTAGCCAAACATAAAACTGATGCACCTTTGGGACATGATTAGAGTATTGGACTTAGTGCAGGAAAGGAATAGTTCAAATTTCTGTTCAGTAGGGAGAATTATTGTTATACCTAAGATTTCTAGAACCTAAATGCCATTCAAAAATTGAAACAAGACAAGTATATATTTCAATCCAATTTATAATTTAGAACAGCTTTCCTGAAGTTGATGGACTCCAAAGGTGTTGGTCTTCAGTTCTCAGGCCTGGGCCTTTTGCTATCCGTGCAAAGAGTTTGTTCAACATACCCAGAGGAGAATAAAAGGTAAAGGTTCCCCTTGCACATATGTGCTAGTTGTTTCCAGCTCTAGGGGGCAGTGTTCAACTCCGTTAAAAAGCTGAAGAACCAGTGCTGTCTGAAGACGTCTCTGTGGTCATGTGGCCGGCATGTCTAAATGCCGAAGGCTCACGGAATACTGTTACCTTCCCACCAAAGTGGTCCCTATTCTTCTACTTGCATTTTTTACGTGCTTTCAAACTACTAGGTTGGCAGTAAGTAACGGGAGCTCACTCCGTTACGCAGCGCTAGGGATTCGAACCGCTGAATTGCCAACCATTCTGATCGGCAAGCTCAGCGTCTTAGCATGGTCAAAGCTGATTTAGAAGCATTTACTCACCTGCTGTGCTCCAGTTTCAGGATCAGTCATGGCAACCACAGAAAAATCCCCAAATCTTTCTCCAGAGGCATCAATAGATACTGGCCCTGCAATGCCTGAAGAACAATATATATATATATATATATATATATGTATTATGTGTGTGTGGTGTGTGTTTTAAGTTGAAAACATTGAACGTTTCCAAGAAAAATAAAAAGGGGGGAAAAATTTTTACAGACTGATATGATAAGGAATTCTAGCAGCCTTCTGATGGCATTCCAAGAGACTGCAATTGTGCCTACATTCTTAGAATACGTAACATTTCCTTCTCAAGAGGATAAATTATTTCATCTTATTAGTAGAAATGAAAGTAACCAAGTCTTTTTTGACACTCCCTAATAGAAACTGGCTCCCTTGCCCTTAAAACCCTTGCCCTGGGTTAAAAGAAGCAAGAAGTAAATGGCTTTGAATAGCTTACACAGAGGGATCGTATTGGAAAGCAAATGTACTCGTCGAATTTTGGCTTTGTTGTCTTACTAACCATTTAAAAAAAATCCATGAAAGCTCTACAAAATTATGTTAGAAATTAATTTACAATGAAAAGTCTTGCTCTGAAAAATCTAATTTCTCACAGGATGCTCACTGTTGCTTACTTGAAGTCAAATCAATTTTAAGGATCCCTATCTGTAGAACTAGAGACCCAATCTGGGACAATAGTTAATGCCCCAGGCTGGAAACCCAGGGGCTCAGGAGTTCTAGTCCCACCTTAAACATGAAACCAGGACACACTCTTAGCCCTCAGATGGAGGCAATGGCAAAACACTTCTGAAAAATGCTGCTAAGAAAATTCCAGGGACTAATCCAGCCAGTCACCAAGAATTTATACTGACTTGAAGGCATATTAAAAAAAAAAATATGGTAGATATAACAGGAAATAGTCTTTTCTCTCTTCTTTCCTTGCAGAAATTCTGTCAAGAAATAGGTAGAGATAGCAAATATCCAGAAACATTTGACTAAACAGTTCCCTCTTTCTCCCACAACCCAATCTTCTACACTAGTTGCGGGGGGGGGGGGAGGCTGCTGGGGAGAACCCCTAGCTAAGATTCTGTGCAGTTTGGAGAACCCCCAAATCCCACTCCTGGCTGGCCCCACCCATCCTGCCCCTCCCCTCCCAGGAGTCCCCATGCGGTCCATTTTGGATGCAGGTAAGTACAGGGCACGCATGGAGGTTCGGGGAGGGTGAAAAACGGGTCTTCCTGAAAGCCTCCTTCCAGAGAGCCTCCGGAGCCTGGGGAGTCTGTTTTCACCCTCCCGGAGGCTCAAGGAAAGCCTCTGGAGCACGGGGAGATGTGTCCCGCCCCACTGTGGTGCAAGAGGCTGACTATGCCACGCGCACCCAGCAAAGGGGCAGAGAACCCGTTGCTAACATTTTTGAAGCCCACCCCGAACTAGTTGTACTAATACCACTGGTTGTATCCCTAACTGATTCCTGAAGTAGTGCATATGCTAGTGAGGTGTCCGTCTATTGCAGTTTTCAGTGAAATCAATGATCTGCTCTGTGCTATATAATCTTTGTAAAATGAGGCACTGAATTAGTTGAACTTGTTTACGAAGAAAATACATGCAAGTTTTGGGCTTGACTTGTAACCTGATATTTACCAGATATCATCATACTAAAATGCCTCTTAATTCCTTGCTGAGGATTATGAGAGTTCCAAGCATATCCAGAAGATGCCAGAATGAGGAATGTTGAGTTAAAGATTTAGAAGAGATATTTTCTTTTCTCTTCCAGAAAAAAAGACAGACAGATTTAGTCTATGCCAAACTTCTATGTGCTTAATTGTATATACATTCTGCTCTTCTTTGCATGTAAAAAAGAAAAATCATTTTCATGGACCATTTCTCCCAAAATACATATTTCTTTGCATAACTTGGGTTCCAAAAAAGCCCATTATCCAATTTTGAGAGGAGCACAGTCTACATAATTGCTCATCCAGGAAATGTGGAATCGGAAGTTCATTTCAAAATGCATACCAGATGAAATGATATTTCACTGCAATTCTACTGTCAATCTAATATTTCCCTTCTCCTAAAGCATTTCCTTTAATGCTCTCTTCCTAAAGAAAAAGTAACAGCCGCTGAGAAAATGGCTGATGATGTTTTTCAAAGCCATTCCAGTTTCTGAACTCATTGTTGGGTTCTTATCTAAAGGAAACATTTCCGTTTCTTTAAGCACTTCTTAGGAAAAGCTTGATAATTTTGCCCAGCACATAATGACGGGTGAATTTGACAAGAGCTGCTGGTCTTACCAGGAATGTCCTGCTTATTTTATAAAGTTTAGCTCTATGTGGATGTCCGCATTAAGGTTTGTGTACATGTAGGACTTAAGATGGTTTTTTTAAATAATCAGGCACAAACACTAGAAATGAAAAAAAAAATATGGAAGCCTTACTTTCCAAATGTACAATGAAATTTTTGAAGCCTAATACAAAAAAGTAACACTGAAGCTAAAGAGGTAAATAGGCAATGAATCTAGCTTTTAAGTTTAAAAAACTACATTAAAAAAGGAACAAATGCAATGAGGTGAGCTAATAAAAAAACAGGAAAACAGTTGAAATACAGGAAAAAACTTGAAAGGGGGAATCCAGAGTTTCTAAATCTCTGTAATAAGGACATATTGCTGCTTGTCATTGGTATTTTATATTGGTTCTATTAACATGGATACCACAGGGAACTAAGCAAATTAAGTATTTAAAAGCTGCATTTGATTTGTGGACTTCAGCACCCAGAATTCCCCAGCCAGCATGAAGTCAGCACATCTTCAAGTTCCCAAGTTTGAAAAACATTGATTAAAACAAAGCATTCAGAGATCCTTATGCTTTATTCTTTAAAGTGCTCCGTTTTAACTCTCTCGGAGTTTTTTGGTTGTTTCGATCGCCAATTCAAAGGGTTGGTTTCAATCTGTGTAATCCAACAGAGTGTTTTCTTCTCATAGAAACTTCCTTCCATAGAAACCAATTGTTGTCTTAAGGTTATCTAGAATTTTTCCTCTGATAACCACTTCAGTCTGACCTCTTTTGTTCTCCCCATAAGCCCCGTGACTTTGTTGGTACTTGAAGCTCCTGAACTGAACTGAACTAAGCTCCTGCGCTGGTCCTGTACTTTATGCTGCTAGCATAAGATTTTGCATGACACAAATGTTTTAAAAATAGTTAACAAAATCAATGAATCAACCAACCAATCACAAAATCTTCTTTCATAATATTAGCAGAAACAATTGGCTTTTCATATCAATTATCTAGAAGGGTTGATCAACAAAACCCAGGAATCATAATCTCTATTATGAAGAAACAAGGATAAAAAGTGGCAGCTTTTACTAAAACAAAACTATTTATAAAAAAGCATGGAATATGTGACTTGATGTACCTTCGTATGTCCTGTTCCATGACTGATGAACAATCTTATCTCCATCTTTCTTTGTGAAGCCATTCTTCAGAACTTCCCGTAAAGCCAGAACATAGAGGACCAAGGCATCATGGAAACCTTCAACAAACATGTTCACCTAAAAGCAAAACAACATTTTGTTGATGATTTGGCCTGTAAGGTCAGCAAAATCATAATTTTATGTATCTTCATAGACATCCCTAGAAGTAGCAAGGGGGGCAAATGATAATATGCATGTTATGAGATCAGCCTGAAATGACACGACCTGTGTACTTGTATAGATACCCCAAAATTTGCATGATGGCATTTATTTATTTATTCATTTATTCATATGTTCGTTCATTTAAGTTTATTAGCTGTCCGACTCAAGTGGACGCTGTGTGGTACATACATGTGAAAAAGACATAAAAGCAGCTAAAATATTAAATCAACAGCAGCTTGGATTAAAATGTTTGAATTCAGCAGCAGATACTGGCTGATAAACAGAACCCATGAATAGGAAGTTACTATTCTGCTGATCGTCCTCAACAATAAACCAACATAGCTACTCAGTTTATACTAAAGGGGAATATATATTTCTGTCAGCAAAGTCATACAAAATTTAATATGGCAGAAGCTATGGTCTGGCCTAGAACAGACAGGACAATCTGAGATGTTTCCTTTCTCTTTTTCTATAATAATTACTCTTTATATACACTGTATATACATAATCCACCAACTCACTGTATCCCTTTTCCTGTTGAGGATCTGAGAAAATGCTATCCAAATACTCTGTCGTTGCCCATGACTCAGAAATAACAAATATTTATTAAACTGTTTTAAACAGGTTTTACCATAAACAGAAGTCCTTAGGCTTTTGTAAGTGGAGAAGAGATAAGTGTTTTTGTCCCCTGAGTTTGGTTGGCTTCCCCTAGTTCTCTACCCTCCTACAGATGCTAGGAACCTATTCTTGGCATAACTAAGTTGGCAGGATTTTGAATGGAAGAACGATTCCATCCTGTAGCTTATTTTCTAAAGAGTGCCCTGTGTGCACGCATGTATCTCCACATTTTGTGGCTCTTTCAGTCAATGGCATGAGCTAAATGAAATGTCCCTTTCCAATCCAAGTGCAAAAAAGCCTATAAATAGCCTAGTGTTTTTGAGAAATCCCGCCAATGCTGTGCTACAAGGAATCCAGCTGTGTAGCTGCTCTCCCTGGGTTGCAATGGGCTTTGTCCTGTTTGCTGGCCATCTGTAGATTCAGAGAGAATGGGAGCAGCCAGTTTATATGAATAGGCTTGTCTTCTATGCCAAACTGGTGGGTACCCTTTTCACTTCCGCTTGCTTTTTTACAGAATTCTTTTCTGCCCCTCTTTTCAAATTTCGGAGCAACCCCAAGAGAAAGAGAAAGTTGCATTTAAAAAAAGCTAATTGCTGTATTCTTTGGGCAATTAAAAACAGAAAGGCTAATGAGACTGACTTCCCTGAGCAACAGAAATAAAAGCATGCATGCATGCATAGTTCATATATCTGAATAGGAGGAAAAGAAAGCTGAATGACTTGGATGGACAAAGGAACACATTAATGGGAGCTTTACAGTTTCACCCACATTAATTCCAGAAACCAGTCTCTTGAGTTTGTTATAATATGAATGCAGCAAAGTTGAACAAATGATTAACAAGTGATTTATAAATTAAGGCAGAAGATTTCTTAAGTAGAGGAAATGTCCAAAGTTCTACTAAACCAAGGCAACACCAGTTTATGATTTTAAAACATTTAGGAATAGACTTTGGGCTCATCTGCAAAGTGTGCTTACTGTAGTGATTTTTTTCCCCCAGCCACCTCCTCTTTTTTAATATCTGAAAGAGGCTGGCCTACCAATGATCTGCACAATGTAAAGTCTTGAAATTGACTAACCCATCCCTGATGTAATTGAAAGGTTTTATAGTCTGCATGTAGAGCTTCATAGGGAAGACCTGGCTCCTTACTTCTTTTTAACAGCAATTTCTTTTCAGGAGGTCACCAGAGGTCGCCAACCTTTTGGACCTCAGGGACCATCAAACTCATAATTTTAAATCCCGGGGACCACTAATATGAATTTTGATTGACAGTGGCTTGCTGACATTGGTGGGAGAGAGAGAGAGATCTGATCTAACTTCTCTCTTTTCCTCTCTCTCTCTCTCTCACACACACACACACTCACACACACAAACACACAGAGGCAGGGGTGGGATTCAAAGTTCTTGGGCGTGGCCTAATTTGTGGGTATGGCTTGGTGGTCATGTGACTGGCTGGGCATGGCTTGTATGTAAATATTATAAATATTTAATTTTTTATTTAAAAAAGAGCAACTTCTACTCAAAATCAGGCAAAGCAGGCAGACAGATTGAGTTGCTCACAGTTGCTCACTTAGAGATCTGTGTTTCTGCTATTGGCTGGTTGAGTCTGCACTGCTTCAGTCCTAAGGAAGGTTCGGCTCTGCTTAAAAGCAAAGCTGAAGATCTAAAGATTAGCTAGAAAGCAAGAAGTCCAACAGTTTCCTGCTTTCTAGCTAATCTAAAACTCCCAGCACAGCAGAACAGCTGATGGTCAGAAAAAGGAAAAATAGCAACTTAGCAGGCAAATTTGCCAGGTAAGGAGTGAGTGGGCGGGGAGGATTCCTGTGGGCCATGTGGGCGGTACAGCCTTGTGTTCCCGCGCAGCCTGTATTAGTTGCTTTGGGGGGTGCTCTGGGGGTGACATTTCTCTGCAGACTACCAACATTTTCCTGCAGACCACCAGTAGGCCACGGCCCACCGATTGATGACCACTGCGCTCCACTCTGGCCCTCTATGGTCTCAACACACTATGTATCAATGTAAGAGGCTTTGTTGTGGTGCACCTGAAGCTCACCTGCTGGGGAATAGCATTTCCAGCACTGGCTCCTCCCTTCCTAGAATGTAACTTAGAACAGGAGTGTGGTAGCTCATGTGGTTAAGATGCTGGCTTGACAACCAACAAGTACACATTCAAGACCCGAATGATGAGCGAGCTCCCACCATTCGGTCCAGCTCCTGATCACCCAGCAATTTGAAAGCTGGCAACTGCAAGTAGTGAGATGGGTACCACTTTGGTGGGCAACTTAATGGGGGACATGAAAAGAACCCATAACTGGGAATCCCCTGGGCAACTGTGATTTCACCAGCTAATCCTTCAACCACAAGTGCTTTGGTACTTCCAATATGAGAGCGAGTGAGCGACTTAGAATAGATATTGTTGGGATGAGCCCTTATAGTATAAAGTGTACAATTACACCAAAAGTGTACCAATGCCCTTATCTGCAATAAATGACTATTTTAGGGCTTTTCCATTTCCCAAACCTTCAGAAACAGTTGGGAGGTGATTAGTGGCCTTAAATTCTGCTAAGAACAAACATTACAAAGTTCCATACAAAAGGGGAAACAGAAATCTAACATTCATTCATTGATTTGATTTGGAGCCTACCTGATTTCAGTCACCTCTGGGTAGCTTACTCATTAAAAATCTTGAACAAGAAAAAGACAATGAACATCGGGAATAACACAATGCCCCCCAAACCTCACAGGGACTCAGCAACCACTCTACCCCACCCCCCAGGCCTGAAGCAAAGCCAAGTTTTCAAGGATTTACAGAATACCCTCCATGGTGATAACCGTATGGATCTTACAATGCTGTTCAGCAGTGGGATCCTACCTATCCCACTACTGGTTTGGTGATCGCACACACATGCACGCGCAGCTTTCCACATACCAGCTGAGGTCTGCAGCACCAATTAGCTGAGAGGATAAAGAAGAGAAAAGTGCAGGGGTGGGCAGGACGGCCGATCCTGTACTTTTCTCTTCTTTCTCCTCTCAACTGGCTTTTTTCCCGCCTCTCAGCTGATCATCGGAGGCTTTTTTTACTACCAGTTAGGCCGAACCGGTAGGAAATTTTGCTACCGGTTCGGCTGAACCAGGCCGAACCGGTGGCATACCACCACTGCTGCTGTTCCAGAGGAAAGATGCTGTGAGAGAGAGATTTCCTAGGTTCCAATAGATGACACTGATTAACCGAAGGGGCCTGGAGTGCATCCATCCTGATGAATATAGTGGGATGAGCAGAGGTCCTCAGAGACAGGCAGACCTCAGATAACCAACCTCTGTGCCCTAAAATATGGTTTGCATTGAAGAAAAGATGGGTTTTCAGTTTAATGCTTCTCTTTTCTTCTCTGGGCTGCTAACAGGGAATGCAAAGCAAAAAAGCAAGCAAAAGTTGTCCACAAGGTGAAGTCAAACAAGTTGAGACGGCCATAACAGTGTGATCTAAGCTTTAGATTTCAGAATGGAAGAGTGTCCTCACAGTCAAGGAAACATTCTCCTGAGAGTACCTAAAGCTCAAATATTTGAGAGACAAAAAAAAAGAAAAGGCTTATTTTGAAAAAGTAGCCTTGCAAAAGTTTTAGCTTTGCAGCTAAGCAACGACAACAACAACAACAACAACAACAACAACACTTGAACTCTAATAACATTGTTGATTTTGGGGACTTATTGACGTCTAATGCAACTCCTATTTGGCACCCATTCTTCATGTGGAAAGACTTTATAGTTAATCTTTAAGGACTAGATTAAATTTTAAAAAGGAAAATTCCATTAAGTGGAGAGAAGTTGGCAAAAAAGGAAGGAAGGAAGGAAGGAAGGAAGGAAGGAAGGAAGGAAGGAAG